ATCCTCCTGTTTCCTGACTCCCAGAGCATTCATGAGGGGCTGGAGCCACACACGCAGTTTTCTTTGTAATCATTATTTCCTGCTGGTTTAGTGCAATGATATCATACATGACTGACAGAACGCACCTGCACTGCCATGTGTACCTGTCTGTTCATAAGCCAGCTCCTCAAGTGGGGCATTTTCTCTCATAAAAGTACAGCTATGCTTCACTGCAGCAACACCGTTTCCTTGATAGCTGTGGCTGTGGTGAAAGTCCTCCCTTGCCCAGACTGCTTTGTGCTACCTCCTCTCTGCAGGTTAGAGATGTGTGCTAACCCAGCAGGCCACATTCCAGCCTGAGAGTGGAATGTCAGGCATGACACCTGGAGAGGATGTAAACCTGCTCCACATCTCACACTCTCAAAAGGGATGCCTAGACTTTTCACTGGATCACTTATACATGTGGTTTCAACGGCAGACCCTGCTTTCCCTCCATCCTGGGCTAGAACATCCACTGATAACAAGGGCAGCTATTGCTTATGTGAAAAGGTTCCACCGGAAGGTGTCAGGTATTGACCTCTCTCTGTAGGCAGCTGAAAAATAGAAGTAATGAAATGTAAGCATGAACAAATACTCAGGGGTTTGATGTGATATGAATATGTTAAAACTAAACGTCTGGAGTTGCACAGTACAGGTTGTAGATTGACGCACCCAAGGATGCTTTTCAAAATTGGAATATTCCTGTGTAAACTCTTCCTCTGTTTGCCAAGTTGATAGTATTTCAACAGTTTTTTTTCCATTTATGATTGATTCCTCAAAGCATCCAGCAAAATGTATTATGTGTATGGCATTAAGGTAGCTGGTGCTCACTACATCTATCTGTAAGTTTCTAAGAATTTATTTTTATGCACATGACTAGAGCTGAAGGCTTGAAATGAAACTGGTTTAGGCATTGCAGTCAGTGGGAAGTTTACCTCAGTTTAAGTGGGACACAAATTTTGCATTGCTTTTTTTCCCCATGATGATGGAGCCTCCTGTCATGACTTCATATAAATTAGGTAATTGACATCAGGCTAATTTTATCTAAAGAATCTCATGGCATGATTATGACAGTTGTAAATGTTATGGCTCATTTTTGGAACACTGTATGGCAGGTTTAAGGATTCCTCATTGCTGAATGATTTTTTGGTCATGTATTAACAGGAGATTAACCTAGAGGACTGCTGTGGATCATTCCTGAAAAGATAGAAACAAATGCCTACTTGAGTATTTGGGTTTGGAATGTTCCAAGAGGAACCTGGAATATTTTCATTTTTGTCACTCCTGCTTTGTGCTTTATTGCTGGAAAATTTACTTTAAGTGTTGAATTATTTTATTTAAACAGGTTGTGACACTAACATGTATTCATAAATTATCATAGAAAATAATTAATTGTATGCCCTGCATTTTTACTTCAATAGAATGAATACATACAACTCGAGCATTGGGTATTGTGGTAGAGCTGCTGTAACAAGTTTTGTTTTTATGCGGCCATATGGCTATGAAGCTGCACTAGCAGTTTTCCATCAATGGACCTGTACTTGAAGTCAGCCCTCCATGAAGGCAGGTTAGCAGGGAAGGGGACCCCTCGCATCCTGCCAGTCACTGGAGAAGTGGAAAACCTTGAGCAACAGTAAGGAGGGGAAGAGATATTTGGGGTAATGGTGTAGCTGTTCGCTGTTTGGAGTGATGCCAGCAGACAGGCAGGGTGTGCGGCACAGGGCAGGGTGGCTGGGGGACCCACCCCAGTGAACTCTAGTGTGAGCACCACATCTGTCACACCACTCCCCCACAGGGACCCTTCCCGACGCCTTCCTCTCCTTCCTACCCGTTCTCTGGTCAGTGTCCCCGGCAGCAGGTGAGGTGGACAGCTCTGCACCCACGGTTGCCCGGCGGGTCCTGCCGGTGCGTGCAACGCGAAGCGCAGAGGCGGCCGAGGGAGACGGCACTGCAGGCACTAGAGGGCAGGACAGCCCACTGCAGAAACGTAGAAAGACGCTGAAGTCACCTATTGCACATTGCACGCCCTGCACTAGTGACACTCGCCTGGACTGCCCTCCTCTGCTAAGCCACAAAGCCTTTCGCACAGACTAGTCGTACTTTTAACATGAGGAGCCAACACTTAGGGTCACCCAACACTGTGCACAGTAAGATCTAGAATCGCAGAATGATTTGGGTTGGAATGGACCATGAAGATCACGTAGTTCCAACCACCCTGACATGGGCAGGGGCAGTTTCCATGCTCAAAGCTCCATTCTGCCTGGCCTTGAACACTTCCAGGGATGGGACATACACAACCTCTCTAAGCATTGTGGGTTTCAGCTCTTTCTAACTGCAGTTGCTGAGCTTTTCACTCCCTGTCTCATCCCTGGGCAAAACCACTTCAAAAAGTTCAGTAGAGGTGTTTCAGCCTGTCCTTTGAATGAGACTGGAGGAAAAATGCATTTCCCTGCTATATTCAACTGTCTTTGCAGATGATAACCAACTTGTAACACAGCTGTGTGCTGGACCTAGCATGTAGGCTTCTGGGTGCTTTCTCCCAGACCCATCAGAAAGCAGACACAAAGTTCATTTTGCCATTGAACTGTGTCGGAAGGACCACCTGTAGCAGGGATGAGTGGAGCCTGTATATTCTAGTCAGGCCAGGCTGGGTACCTGTCAGCAAAGGCCTCAAACTGCAGCAGGTGTGCACAGTGAGGCTTCTTATCTTTGTGTGCTTTATCCAAAGCAGCTGGTTATAACAAGACTATAGATCTCTATCGATTTCTCTGCAAAAAGCCAGAGCATTACTCCAACAAAGCTCAGCAGCTTAGCTCCATATTTACTTCAATACCCACTTGAGAAATGGGAAAGACACTGGGACTTACTGCCTGGCCTGATTTAGCTTGGGAATCCTTTTGATATTGGTGCACCAGACTAAACTCTCTGCATTTCTCCATTGCACACTGTCAGAGTGGGAGCATTCTGGTGAGTGTAAAATTCATGGCTGGTTTCCTGCTGTCAGAAATCATGGGTTTTGAAGAGCTGCAGAGAGAATGAATAAAAAGAATACACCTATGAAAGTGCTTCCTTGTATGCACATGTTAAAAATCAACCTCACCTTACCCATCTTTAATGGCTAAGGCCTTGGGGGCCCACAGATGCTGTATTTAACAGCAGCAGTGTACAGCAACAGTCCCATGGTGTTCATGAAGGCATGGAGATTCCTGTCCTGCCTTCCTGCAGGAGACATCTTTAGAGCAGTGTGATGGTATCTATCCTAGCAAAATACAGGAAATATTTCTATGTGTTTTCTCACTGCCATGGTGTCCTTACTGGTACAAACCAGAAGCTGGATGTGACATAGGGTGCATTTCAGCAGCATAGCAGTATCACTGTAGTTATAAACTGCCTTTGGTTGCCTCAATCCTCCTCAGCCCCACCACGGATATTTGGTGCTCTCAAATTGCCCAAGCCTTAGCTCATAACATACAATAACGTTAGCATGCGCATACTGCCACTGGCAGTTTAGGTTAATAAATTTGACAGTGAACTGTATCAGCCGCAGCAGTGGCATATCCCATGCTGCTGACTGCTGTGGGGTTCATGATTTCTGGCAAAAAGTCTGGCAGAGAGATGGCTGGTGCCATAGGGCTTGAAACTGCCCCAGAAAGGTTACTCTTACCTGCCAGAATCCTAGCTGGATCTGGTGGCCACTGCTGAGACCACATGTACTGCTAAAAGAGACCTAACGGTGGAGCTTGACTTAATGGGTAGGTGATTTAATCATGCTTGGGCAATTTAAATTATACCTACTTTAAACAGAGCTTTTGTATTTTTTTTTTAAGATGATCATGTTGAAAAGTTCTCACAGGCATGTTGCAGAGTACATCTAGATTATTTCAGGCCAACCATCACCATTTCAATTAATGGTAATTAATCGATCAAACACATTTGTTTCAAACAGAGTCGACATAACACTCAACTTACAGACAGTTCCCAAAGCCACCCCACACTGTGATCACTGGAAGGTCTAAGTAGGATGGAAGAGGTCCCTAGATCCCTGGTCATCTGGTCCAACCTTCTCTAAAAGCAGGGCCCTATATTAGGTGGGTCTTTGACTGGCTTCGGTGTAGTGCTGCTGAAAAAGGAGCAGGGGGCTGGTGTCCCGCCAGCTGAACAGACACGTCCCTTGCAGCTGTGAAGGCAAACTGTGCCCCAGGCTGTGTCAGCAGGAGCAGAACCAACAGATCACAGGAGGCCATAATGCCACCCTGCCACTTGCTGGTCCACCTGAAGGATGGAGCCCAGCTGTGGTCTTTCTGAGTTCAGAAGAGGCACTGGAAAATTTGAGAGGTCCCATGGAGGTCCTTGGAAATGGTTAACTGAGGAGAAAATGCCACAGGGAGCAAGACTGGACTAGCTGGGTGCATTCAACCTGGGAAAAGGAGGCTCAGCTGGATCTCATCGTGGTTTTCCAGCACTGAACTGGCGGTCACGGGGAGCATCTCCACAAGGATGACATGTGTCAGGACAAGAGCCACATGCTGACACATCAGCTGGGCTGCTCTCCCTTCCTGCACCCCTTGCCCTGCCAGAGTGCAAGTCTGCAGTAAAGACCCACAGTCAGGAAGTAAAATCAGTGTGTGTAAAGGAAATGCTTAATGCCGTGAGATGCCTTCTTGGAAGTAATTTACTACCACCAGTGCAGGTGAGGGAGCTGTGCAGATCCTTGCGAGTACGACGACGTACGGCCACAGCAGCAGCGGCGGCGGCGGTCGGAAAGCCGCAGGCCGGGGTGCTCACACTTCTCTTGTAACAAGTTTCCCGATAGCGCCGTTACCGAGCAAACCCTCGGGCTCCGGTGGCACGGCCTCCGGGCTCCTCCCGGCACAGCTCGCCTCTCCGCGGGGCGGGAAGCAGACACCGCCCTGCCACCAGCCGGCCCCGCGGCCCGGCCCTCCTCAGCTCCGCCCGCTGCCGCCCCGGGGCTGGGCACCGCCGCGGGGACGGGAGGAGCTGCCGCCGCCGTTGCGCTCCCCGGCCCGGCGCTGGGGGAGCGGGCGGTGCCTGAGGAGCTGGGCCATGAGGTGAGCGGGGCCGCGCCGGGGGCGGCAGGTGAGCGGGGCAGGCGGCCGGGGCTGGGCCGGGTCTTTTCGCCTCCCCACAGCCGTGTCGGGCCGCCCCGGGCCGGTCGGCCGTTGCGGCGGGGCGCTGAGGGGCGGAGGCTGGGGAGGGGGGGGGCGCCCGCTGTCGCAGGGAAGCGAATTGCGCCACATGTGTCCGCCTTCAGGAGGAGACTTGTGTTTGTTTATTTATTACTTTACACTTGTACCTAACAACTTTTCCCGAGCCCCAGCAGCTGCGCGGGCTCTCCGTTGTCCGGCCGCTGAGCCTCGCACCACAGCCCGGGACGGGCTGACGGCCTCGGGCCCGGCCCAGCCCCTCTTGCCTCCGGGAGCAAAAGGGCCTCAGGAGTGGGAACATCTCGGTTCGTGCCTCTCTGCAGCCTTTCGGCACTCACGGGCTGTGGCAGCTGCCCGTGCCCTGGTGCCCATTACGTGGTAGCACTCCGGGTCATGCCCCTCGGGGTTTCGTCCCACTGTGTACCGCCGCTCATGGACGGGTCTCGATGCCTGCCTCAAAATTCATCCAACAGAGGCAGTCGCAGCACCCTGTAAATCAGTTGTTCATCCTTCAGCAGGGTGACAGCTTATTGCTGTCAAGCCTGGAGTTGTCGCTGACTTCTGCAGGAGACGTCTTTTTTTTTTTTTTTTGGTGGGGCAGAGGGATTTACCATATTATATAATTTATTGTTTCTTAGTAGATAATGTTAAATTTAAACTTAGAGGTGTTGTGTCCCCTCACCCCCTTAAAATTCTGTGTCTCATGGCCAAATGACAGTTTGTTTTTCTAGAATGGTGAATTCAGGACAGCCAGACTTCTCTGAGGGTTGTTCCTTTCCCTGTGTGACTTGAGCATAACAAGTATGTGCCTCCTTGCAAAGGAGGGCCAATAAGGATAACTACTTTTGTAGAACATTTAAAGTAGTTGATGAAGGTCACAAAGTAGCAGCTGTCTTTAAAATGTGATTTGAATGTAACCTTCCCACCTCAGCTGATATTTTTAATTTATAAAGGCTTATATAGGATGGAATCCAAGCTATGGTTGTGCATACGTGATGTATCTACATACATATTCGTGATGAAGGTCACCTTGATGAGGAGGGTCTGCATGAAAAAAATATAAATAATGTATGAATAAATATAAATACACATTCCTCTTCCAAGAAGTGGTAGGAGAGGATGTGCTTGACATTATTGCCAGAAGATTAGCAAATCCAGCTCTGACAGAATGAGGAAGGAAGAGATTCCCAGTCTGAGCATTCACATCTCTCGGTATTGCAGTTAAATTAACATCAACACTGCAACCTGATCCTTGGTTGTCCCAGTGCTTAGCAGAAAATCTGTCTGTTTAAGTCAGAGATGTAATCTCATGCAGCAGCATAAAGTGTCAAGCAGTCCCATCCTGACTTGGCAACTTCTGCAAGATGAGAGTCTCTGCGGTACTCCACTGACCCCTCCTGCATAGCAACTTTGTTGTGCTCTCACCATTTTCTGAGGGGAAGCAAAGATGCTGTCATTGGGAATTTCACTTCACTGTTCCTTCCCATCCCAGTTGTTGTTTTGGAGAAGCAGCACATGGAGCACTGCTCCACTTCTGCGCAAGGAGAGCAGTCGTACTGTGCAACACAAAGGGGGGTTGTGTTGGGCAGGTGACCCTGAGTGGATCATGGGTAGTTCCGCTGAACAGAAGTATGGCTACAGTGACAGGATCAGTGACAAATTGCATGATTATTGCTTGATACTGTGTGTGTTTGCTGCTGTGGTGCCATTGGATGTGTACTATGTTTTCCACTATTAGTATGCACTTACTTGCCCTGGATTGTCAGTCAAAGCAGTCAAAATCTCGTTTGCAAGCCTAATGGTAGCTGCTATAGATCCTGGACCGGTATAACTGCTTAATAGGCTGATCGCCACGTGTTGAATTGTTGAGTGCTCTCAAGGTGACATTTAAACAGGACCTGATCGTTCTGATCATGCAGGTGCTGCAAATCGATAATAGGATTATTTGTGTAAGAGGCAAAAGATGGGATGAGTGGGCTAAAAATAAGATCAGAAAGATTGTACCAGTTTCTTTGGTCCTGCGCATCAGACTGAGAACTGTAGTGGGAGAGTTCAATGCAAGAAAGCATGGAAACACAAGAAAGTAAATAATTATTTCTTAAAGGTAGAAGGGCCTATTGAATCATGTGATTAGCCCTCCAGGTTTAACTAGGTTGAAGCCTCAGATTGGCATCTTCAAGTTGATTTAAAATTGCTTAGCATTTAAGATAAAAATGAAAAGTTAAACAATTTTGAGCGCATTGCTTGTAGGTAGACTTTCTTTTAACCTGGACACTTGTTTTGCAGTCGTTTTGCAGACATGTAAACTAGCAGGTCACAGATTAACGCTGTCTAACTAAAGACAATGACTTCTATTTCCTTTCAATTCCATAATCTGCTCTGCAACAAGAATGTCCTTGTTGTGAAGCTCTGTGAGCACACACATGTCTGCTCTCCCTGCCTGCCTTTCTGCCAGGAATCAGTGGAAAGAAAACAGCGTAAGGTAATTATCCCCATGACTTCTGAGACACATTTATTCTACAATGTGTTGCATGGGCTAGGACCTGAACCGCTGTCCCTTTTCCCTCAAACCTCTTCTTGGTTGATGATTAAAACCCCAAAACATCAATCCTCATCCTGCCCATAAGTGAATATACACACACTGTACTTAAGACAGTCTATGCTGGTGTTTGATGTAAGTTTAATATGTGGATACAAGTTTTAATTTTTTTGAGCACTTGACATTACACCCACCTTTACAAACCTAAATAGCCCTCTTCAATCTGAGCAATGTGGCTTACAAGCTGTTTGCAGACCAGAGCGTATTTAAAGTACACATTGCCAACTACTTCCCTACTGGCTCCACTGAGTTTTTATTTTAAGATGTTCCTGCTTTCAAAGATAAGCATGAAGCAAATGAGACTGCTCCAAACACCAAGGGAACAGCAGTCACACACTTCTACTTAAGCACGTGCCACCATACACCCAGCCACTTCATTTAATTGTTATTAAACCCAGAAGAACCTGTTTGTTCTTTCCTTGCGTGTATGGAAAGAAGTAGGAAATCTCTTTAAATGATGCCAAGGATACTGCTATTTTATGATAACTAGCAGGAAATAACAAGAGTTAGGACAGAAAGAAGGTCAGTCTGCTTGAATTCTGTATGGGAAAATCTTGAAAGTGGCTCATACGATTTATGAGCAGTCCAGACACTGTCCTGAGGATAGTCAAATAAGTATTTTTTTCCCTAGCTTTGCTTTTTTAATGTCTTACCTCTTTCTTCCATGCGTTCTTCTGAATATGGGCTGTTTGGAATTTGCTGTGAAAGAGTGTTTTGGGTTCCAGATGTCTCTGACGTGATGATCTAAAAGTGTCAATTCTTTCCAGTGGTCTTTGTCAGTATGATTTTCATATTTTTTATTATTTTTTTTTTTACTGACTTTCCTGCCTGCACCGATTGAGCTTCTGTAAGATGGTGAGTTGCAGTGCTAAATAAGGATCAAGAATGCCTTTGTAAACTAATTCTGTCTTGGAGGACAGAGTAGATCTGCTTTTATCTCTCTCCTTCCTGCACCTAGGACACTATTTTACGAGAAGCTGTTTCACAAGCAACTTGAAATAGCAAATTTTAAACTTTCCAAATAGCATTAACTATTCATAATTCCAAGTTAAAATGAGGAAACAACAGAGGCTGTGTTATAAGGCATTGATTCATAGTTCTTATGAGTTGGAGAGACAATCACACTGATCACCTTCCAGTGTTTGCTCGCATTTTGCTTTCATGATTTTTCAAATGACATCCCTGAACACATTGACACCGTGTGTCTGCTTGCTTAAACCCCTGAAAAAACTGCAGTGGAAATAAAATGCAAAAAAAAATTATGGTGAGTTGTAAAAGGGTTTACAGTTAGCTCTGTCATGCTGGTTTGGTAACTCAATATCCTTGTCATTTTTTCCTATGGAGCGCCTCAAGTTTCAAGTATGGAAAGATTTGGCTTTTTGAGTTGCTAATAAATCCTTCAAGACACTAGCCAAATATAAATGGACACTCTACTTCTTGTCTGTATCAGGGAAGAGCCTGAAAAAATAGCTGTGCAGAAGAACTGCGTGCATTTCATCTTAACTTAGGTGCTGTTCTGGTAGCTTGAGCAGACAAAAACAGGGCGCGGCACTTGGTGAAAGTCTTGTACCATGGCACAAGTTACAAAGTTGGTGTAGATGTGCTTTACTCTTCTTCAGGGCATGTAACAGAATTGCGCAAAGGAAAATAATAGAGTATAGCTATTTAACCTGTGCTAGCATGCATGATAGAATGCAAATGTAGTGCAGTGAGCAATGTTACGCTTTGCTCCTCCACTTGGTCTCTTGTTTCCAGGTTCCTGTTGCTATGAATGTTGTTGAGGGACTCTTGAGGATAAGCAGGAATATCTTCTGCAAGAGTGACGTGTATCTGTCAGAGAGAACCGCAGCAGCAAAAGTCCCACTTGCTCTTTTGGCCATAAACTATCACAGCATTTTTGTTGGTTTACTTCAGCTAGAATATTATTTCAATCACTACAGCTGTATAATGTGATCAACAACATTGATTTGTCCTGTTAAGAGAAATAAGTAACATTAGAATCAGTACGGCTTTGTTGAGATGACAATTAAAAGTGCTGCAAGGCTGAGCAATAAACAAATGTTTTATAACGCATTGAAGTTCTGTTTTGCCAGTGCCTTGACAAGATTGATTCCCAAAGAAGATACCCAGTAGCTATTCATTACATTGTCCGGCAATAATAAACAGTGGAAGGACCAGTAAAGCACATGTTAAATACAGAGCTGAGCTAATTCAAAGTTTGTTTTATCCCTAAAGAGCTGGATGCACCTTCTTTGTCAGGTGTAATTATTTCCTGTCATACACACAGATGCGGTGTGCAGAGAACCAAGGGGAGTATTAATGGAAGGGAAGGA